AGAAACTTGAGAAAAAGAGAAAAAAGATAAATCATTTTCTTGTTTTGAGAAGAGGCCACATCATTGCATGTGATTTCTTCTTTAATATATATATAGATTCTTGGTTTTCATCACCTCTTAAAAACATTTTAGACAAAAAGAATGAGATAGAAATAAATTAGGTATATAAAAATGACATAAAATAGAAGTATTGAACAAGAAATAACTCTCAAAATTGAGAGTTATCATTAGGTTATCCATCTCTCTAATTGTTATTTTTTTGGTAGTGAAAACACCATATTTACCTCTCTTTATGTCTCTTTTTATGAGATAAATACTTATGTATTTGGTGTGGCGGAATCGTAAGTATGCACACAGTGGGCACAAAGTCCCCAAAGTGGTGGTGCAAGTGCACGCCGACACTATGATCGCTTCAAGTAATAGAGTGGTATAGTACCATGATCGTTTCCACAAGGACTGGACTTACTGAGAATCAAAGAGTTTCATGAACTTCTTGAACATGTTTCAGTTTTGAGAAAATAGTTGAGTTTTGATTGTGCAAAACTTTAAAATACGAAATGAACCTTTAATATTAAAAGATGGGTCTGGGTGTAAGCTTCCCTTCATAAAATTGTAGAAACAATTTGGTCAAGAACTCATGGGACTTCTATAAGAACTCCGATCTCTCGAAAGTGAATTCTTATATACTGTGCCCACAGAGTGCCCACAAAGCGTCCAGTTTTATGAATCTTAAACTTGCCGAATTAGCTAATAGATAAAAAGATATATGGTTCCACTAGCCTGAAGATTTATACTCAAATCTCTTTGTAGCATAAACTCGACTAATATCTGAACATTAGCTAAAAACATGCAGAATCCGCATCTCTACGTGATTATCAAAGACTCTCTCAAATCTTTGTGCATCATCTAAGCCGTATTTCAGATCCGCACATCTCTGGATCAAAGATCTAATATTAACACTTCAAAGTGATCAACTTATATGCGTTGAACTTAAATGTTGAATAATAGGTATTTTTATAATCTTAATTTGAAGAAGTTATATTTGAATTTGATAAGTCACAATAAATTTTTCTGTGGATTTCAAAAAGGTAAATTTCATTTAACTTTTTATTAAAGAATAAAAAATAAAATAAATATTCATAATATACTTTCTATATT